TTAATGCTCAGATTATCGCTGTCAGCAAATCGTTGCTTCTCATTCATTCCTGAAACTCCGCGCCCATTTCCACGACTTTTTGCTTTTCGTTAATAAGCCCTGTGGGTTACTCAGTGTAATACTGCAACTTACTCATTTATGTTTGTTTTAGGAGGGACACAGGAAGACTATATATGGTGTTGCTTTTAATCCCTACCTCGAGGAGGATCCGCTTTTCGCCACTGTTGCCGAGAATCGAGTTCGTTTTTTTTTCGTAAGCGCTGCACTCTGCGAAAGTATTGCATGTTTCAACAGTGTAAATATTTTTGGTTCGCTATTAATTCCAGTGGTAAAATTGCTTTCATTGGGGTTTTTTCGGTGATTGTATGTATTCAGATACTTTTGTTGTGTCTTATTTGTAACCCTATAATTATGCCATTCCCCTCCTCTCACTAATTCCTGATATTTCGACTTACTTCCCCCGTCTTACTAACTTCTAACAATTCCACCAGATTCTAAATGTTTCTATACTGCCTACCTTCCTACTCATTAACTAACTTGCCCTCCTTTTCCCTCCACTAATCTTCCCTATATAAATCCCCTCCTTGATCCAAACCCTCAATTAGTTTTGTGGAAATCGTCAGCTTCAACACCGTCACGCCAAACGCTAACAGCGTCAGCTTCTACACCGTCGTCTCCTCATCGCCGGCGTCCTTCTGTTGCACATCTTGTGCGATGCCCCGGCTCATCGTTTTACGCGTCGTCTCGATTGTCATCTGACGCGTCATCTTATTCGGCGTTTTCTCTGGAGTGAAGTGTTTATTAGAAGAATAAACTGCTGGTGTTTCTCCTCTGTCTACCGCTGCAGTCGAGGATCACGTAATGGGCCTAACATATTGTTAGGGCTAAAACACACAAGTTTTTTTTTTTATTTCATCTTTTATGCTTCAATTATAGAATACTGTAGATTAGCAATGTGCATATTATGCTCGATTTCTTATTATTAAATGCCCGTCGTGCGTAAGTTATATTTCTGTACTACATATTGTCGTAATTGGACTGCCCTTTCCATTGTGCCCTGGTACACAGCTGCATGAGGCTGGTATGAAAGAATTTTCAGCTTACTTTACTTTAATTGTAGGTCAGTGTCTATGATTTGAAGGATGACAGTGTGAACATGCTACGAACTTATCATGATGCAGCAGTAAGTATATTTTTTTTGGTATCAGTTTACTGTTAAAGCGATTTTCGTTCAGTTCACTTCGGGTAGCAGTAAATTTTACTTTGTTTTAGAAAGACGAAGCATTTTTTGCGGTTTGCTGGGCATATGATGTTGATAATCAATTGCATCTTGTGGTTTTTGCTGGAAATCGCGGAATAATACGAGTGCTCGGAGCTCTTACCGGAGAGCTACGCAATGTTTGTTGCATTTTTTTTACAGATTTTAAACTCGTCTTCCGCTTTCTTTTGCTCCCCGAATTTGCTTCTGGGCATTTTTTTTTCTAACGTACTACACCGAAGCGTTTAAAGAAAAGGTGTGTTTGATTTCTGTGTACGCTTTTGGAGCTTTTCGATAAAGTCTTTTCATTGCTCACCTGGGTTTCGCATTTTCTCCCTTGGTTGCAGTAGTCTTTCTGAACTATACAGATACTATACTGAATATTCCGAAACTCTCGAAATACTTGATCTCAAAGCACTCGAATTTTTGGGTGAAACTCTGGGATTTAACAACAGATATGTGTGTGCTATTGCATTTGTTTCAGGGAGGTGGGGCTAGGGAGGAGGGGGGAGGGGGAAGGAGGGGAGAGAAGGGGATTTAGGTAACGAGTCTGTTAGTTTTTTGGACTTTCGTTTATACGAAACCTTTTCGTATTTCATTTCTGTGCTGCATCAGTTATATTTCCATCAAATGTAATTCTTTGCAACTTTTCGTCGATTCCGAAACACAGTAGCTTAATTATTGTCGCGCTGTTCATTGAATCTTGAAAATCCCTAGGCAGATGACAAAACGGGGACTTTTTTACGAAAATGCCTTCGGATGCGCATCACAAACACTTACGAAACGTAATTTCAGATACTGCAATAAAACAGCATTGATTTTAAAGTTTTTGAAATGTGGCTATAGCAGCAGGGCAACAGAAAGTTCCAGCATCAGCAAACATTTCAGACACTGGTTGGGCACGGTGATGCCGTGAATGATCTGCAAGTGTGCCCGAACGATGGGCTGATTATTGCTTCGGCTAGCAAAGATTTCACTGCACGAATATGGAATATCCATAATAGCGCATGCCTGGCAATTCTCGGGGGAGTGGAGGGCCATCTCGATCAAGTCATATCAGTGGTTTGGTTCTTCCTTCTCTTCAGTCACAGTTCATCAGATAACTGAATTCATTTCAAGTGATTTTGTTCGAAAGAACCGCTCTGCAGGATTTCGATGCTAGCAGCCAGTACCTGGCAACGGCGAGTATGGACCATTCTGTTAAATTATGGTACATTGGAAAAGGAAGTGGTGTCGACCGACTGATTGAGCAGTCCAAAGCTGATCTTAAAGTTCGTAAGCAATGGGAATAATTTACGCCTTTGACTGATTTTTTTTTTTTTTTTAATCTAAGTTTTTGTTTAGGAGATGATAAAAGGAAATTCATGTTGAAGAAAGCTTAAAGTTCCATCGATTTTTAAAAATGCTCTATTTTGCAGCTGGTTGATCAGCCTGTCGAAATACATTATCCGCGTTGTAGTACTCGTGACGTGCATACGAACTACGTCGACTGCGTTCGCATTTTTCACAGACTCATATTTTCCAAGGTGAAGCTTTCTGCTCTCCGTAAATCAGTTTTCCATGATATGTGAGTAATGCTTTCATTTGCGATTTGCATGAAAAATCATCATTGAGATTTTCAATATGTAAACTGCTTTGCATCTCGTTATTGGCTTGCAATTTTTTTACGGGTGAGGATTATGCAAAAGAAAATGTTGGAAACCTCTCGTTTAATTCAGCATCGTTTACTTTTCAAAAGCGTTCTCGGTATTAAAATGGTAGTTTTAATAATTTACGTCCTAAAATGATATGAGTGGGTGCACCGGC